GAAACCTAGAGAGAGAAGACAATTGTGCAGCGTAAGGAGAAGAATGAGTGGATTACATGGGTTCTGAATACTTATAGGCAGCACCGCCGGAACACACCAACCGAAGCGGGACACGTGGTGCCTGGGTACCGGTACCTACCACGGTATTTAAGCACCTCGATTTCGTCGCCGCATAACCACCACGAAGATATCCGGATCCATGCCACGGACGTCCCCGCAGGAGGGTTGTGGAGATATTCGTCTTCCCATGTTTGCACAGTTCATCGGCCGCCCATAACATCGGCGACTGACGAAGACACACGCATCAACCGGCCACGCTCGTCTTTCCGGTCACCGAATTTCAACACGCAACGGTAGACGAACGTCGCCACCTGACGCTTCTCCAGGGAAACACACCCATATATCCGCACTTGAGAACTGTACCATCGAAGCAATTACCGACGGGCGTCCCCCAATTGTAAAAATGCTGTGTGGACGGCAGGCCGGCCTCGGTATCGAGGTATCGGAGGAATTTTCCGTACTACGTCAACAATGAAGGGCACAGAAGGGTCATGTCCATGCTACCAATAGGGCACGCACGTCTTTCCATACAACCATACACGGACATCGTCAGGAAATGTGCTTCACAGCATGTCGTAGCATGGTCATGTCCGATAGCATGTCCATGCTATCGGAGGCAGCCCCCGACGAACGTACTTCACGCTTGGGAAATGTGCTGTTTAGACAGCCTCCGACGACCGTCGTCAAGAATGCTGTTGCCAGGGGAGCAAGGAGACGTCCCTGCCCAAAGTCAAATGACGAGCAGGGATGGACGTCCTAACAAACTACTTTGCAGCAGAATATTTCGAGGCACGGAATGAATTTCCATACAACAAGAGACAAAGGGAACGAATTTTGGCAAAATGTGGATCTTTATTCTTCAGCACTGTCGGCTGGAAACTACAAGTCTACGTACTGCAATAAATCTAGGCTAAGAAATAAATCAACACATGTGGGGGGACGGCGGTCGGCTGTTGGCATGAGTATGCTCCTCCTCCCGAGGCTCGGGCTCAGGGGTTGGGGGCTCCGGGATATCCCCCATGGCTATGGCCGCCGCCCGGCGTCTATCCCGCCCTATTTTCCCCAGGGCCTCGATCAGTAGATCGTCATCCGTATGATCGGCTGGGTTGACGCCAGGGCCTAGGAGCTTCTCGAAGATTGGGAGGATGGCCTTGATCCCTTCATTATAGCCACCGGCGAAGGCGCTATCGGCAGAATCATAGAGGAATTGGCGCGACAGGGGGGAGCTTTCCATCAGCCGCACACCGAACCTCAGACGGTCCTTCGCCGGAACTTTCCCCAGAGCATGAGAGAACACGTCACCAAAAGCCCCGGCGCAGAAGTCCTTGGCCGACTCCATAAACTCGCCGGTATTCCGGTAACCAGAGGTATTGATGCACCATTCCGGGGCGGCATCTTTTGGGGCCGGAAGTACCGGCATGAGCTTGAAGCCGGCCTTCTCCAGGCAGGCCAATTGGGCGCCGGTTTCAGCCCGGAGGGACTGAAGCTCCTCCCTAGCCGAAGCAGCCTCTTCCTCTGCCCGACGGGCGGCCTCCCGAGCCGTCAGTATGGCGGCTTCGGCCTTGATCCTTGCCTCCTGCAGGGCGGCATCCCTGGCAGCTTCGGCCTGCAGCACCAACAGCCCTGACTGAAAGAAAAAATGGGATAAACAGAGTTTAGACGGCGAAGCGACGAGCGTCAAGGGGACAAGATGGGTCGAATCGCGACAATACCTGGATGGCCGCAGCAAGAGCAGCGCTGGTCGCCTCGGAAGACGACCGGGGGGGCAGTTCGAGGCCGGCTTTAGCCCCAAGCTCCCTCCAAAGCTCCTCAGCCGGCCGGCTCAGGGATAGACCGCTAGCATCCTCAACGATGGGGCCGGAGGAAACGCAGTCTCGCCCCCTCTTCGTTTTCTTCTCCGGGGCCTTCTCGCTCCCCTTCTTGGGAACCACTTTTGTGGCAACGACCGGCGGGGGGAGAGCAGTTTCAGCATGATGAGTCAGGGCCCCCTCGTTCAGCAGGGTGGCAATCAGGTGCTGCTCACCGTCTGCAGTCCGACGGGCGGCGTCGGAGGCCGATGATCCGGCTCCATGGGCGGCTGCCTCTCTGGCCGCTTTGGCCGCAGCCATCTTCGCCTTCCTGTTCCTCAGGCACTCAGCATTGTCCATTTGTTCGGCGGTAAGGGGGAGACCTGCAAGAGAGAAATACAAGAATATGAAAAGACGAACAGGGATAGGGAGGAACACCCACCTCAGAGGACAGGACCGCCCGTGCCCCGAGACGAGCGTCCAAGGGAGGAAGAAATCCAGGAACACGGGCGGTACCTATGCCTGCTTCAGAGAGTGCCTCGACGGTCAGGTATTCCCCTATAGGGCGAACGCCGCCTTCCAGGACTTTCTTCACTTCCACTTCCAGCCCGGCCGACAGCGCCGGCGACTCAATCTTCGGAGGGTAGCCGTTCCACCGGATTGGGAGGGGAGGACCGTCATATCTAAGAAAAAAGAGCCTATTTTTCCAATCATGGATGGAGGAAGGATAGTGCTCAAATAGCTTCCTCTTCGGACGAGCGGCCACACTCAGGTAACCGTCGGAATTCTGCGGGGTGACCCGGTAGAAGTAGTGGAACAGTTCCAGCGATATGACGGCTTTTGCGGACGAACAGCGCACGAGGAATGCGGAGATAAATCTATAAGAGTTGGGCATGAACTGCGCCGGAACCACCTGGTAGCAGTTGAAGAACTCCACGTAAAAGGGATGGAGAGGAAACCGCAGACCGGCCTCCACAGAATCCACATGCAGGATGATCATCCCCGGCCGTCGCCGCATGGCATGTTCGGCCCCGCTATGGCTAAAGACGAACGGATGGGGAAAGAAGGAAGCAATCTTGTTCATAGCGACGCTGGAGAGGGACTGCCTGTGCTCTAAGACACTCTTAATCTTGCAAATGTGCCTCTGCACATCCATGGGAATACCTAAATCGTGCACCTCCAGGTCGGAGCCAGATTGGGCCTCGTCTGCAGAATCATAACCGGCGGGGCGCTCGTTCAGGGGGACGGCGTCAATAACATCTACGGCCCCGTCGGCACCCCCGTCCCCGGCGTCGCTCCCACTACTTTGCGACACATTATCCGGCTCGCCATCAGCCCGGATGGTCCCCACCGTCGTGGCTGAACCAGAGGTCCCGGAAATGCTGGCCTTCCCGGGGGAGCGAGCACTCACATCGGCCGAAGAGGAGCCCGAGGAGGAACCCGACGAACCGGAATCAGAGCTTGACGAAATCTCCATCGAGGTCATTTCGGCTAGGAATCAGAACAAGAAAAGGAGCAGAGGGGGGAAATTACCTTACAAAGGGGTTAGCCGGATTCAGAAGAAGACTTGAAGAGCTGCGGAAAATCGGGAGCAAGAGAGCAGAAATTGGGAACCCTAATTCAGAGGGAAAACCCGGTATTTAAAGGAGAAAACACCGATGGCGAAGCCAACAAGGGGCCGACACGTGGCAAGGAGCGTACCCCGGCCACGCGCTGTGCGTGGGATGGGAACGTAATGATGACACCTCCTCGGGAAAATGCACCGCCGCAACATCAGCCGTCACCTCGTTTCCTGAACCGGCGACAGCTGTCAAGCACCATGACCACGAGCGTACGCTCCCACCAGATGCAATAAACATAAGTATCAAGATACGGACGTCTACTTCGGGGGGTTCATACTTCCTTATGTCCTGCGCATGCTCAGAACATCAGAAGTGGGGGACTTGTGTTGGGTTAAGGGCCCAAGCTGAGGTCCGGCCCACTAACCCATTTTGCCAGACGAACGTCCAGCCAGAAACCAGGCCAGCCCACGGGCCCATGTCTCCTGAGGATGGACGAACGTCTGGTGTTGGAGGACTCAGGCCCAGCAGCTCATTCCGACGAACGTCTGTGCAGAGGCAAAGAGCAGAACCACGGGCCAGCGGGGATGGCGACGAACGTCCCCGGAGCAAGCCGATATCCCTCAAGGCCAGGCGACGAACAGCCGATATCCCTCAAGGGTCACTTGGAGCAATCCAACTCACTTCCGGGGGGACGAACGTCCCCACTGATCCGGCGGGAAACCTAGATTCTGGCGGGAAGTGCATTTAATGCTAAAGATTTGGTAGTTGGGACACCAGCGGTCCACAGGCTGCCACGTCAGTACAGCCACCTGCCCATTGGCGGGTATAAATAGAAGCATTTATTTCATTGTAAAGGGTTGGCAACTTTCTATTCTTAGCATACTAGCTTCAGCACTCTTACTCGCAGCATTTCTAACTGCCTTGTAAGACGAACGGCCGACGTGCCTTTGTTAGCAAGTAGATTGTACTTAGGGGAGTTATTACGGAGTTAATAATACCTATTTACATTGCCTGCTATTACTCTTGTTTCCTGATTCATCTAATAGTTGTTGGGCTAGATAACCATACATCCACTCCATTCGAAACCTTTGGGCTTACGTGTTGGGTCCACGGGTTGAAGGAATAAACCTCAACATCTTCAAAATCACCAACATTCAAATCCAAAGAAGATAATTATCTTAATATTTTATTTAAGATGCATATAAATAAATAATATAGGTTTCTTAAAAATATTTCGAAATAAAATTTATAGATAAAAATGTGAATAGAGTTCCTATAAATCTATTTTTCATGGTCATTATGCTAAACAAATTGAACATATTTGTAGTCACTAAAAGTTACTAAATGATTTTTTTATCCACCGTGATTATAATCATATATTAGAAAAAATATTTATAAATTTATACTCATATATTATATTAATTTTATATTAAAGCTAATTGTTTCGGGTTTTTTCGGTCCGGACCGGGTTATAGATTTTAAGGCCCGTTAATGAGCCCAAAATTTCGGGTTCGGTCCGGGTATTTTTAATTCGGGCCGGTTAAAACGAAAAAACCCGGACCGGGGTCATAATAATTCGGGTGGGTGTAGGGTCGTTTTCCGGATCCGTTTTTCCCACCCCTAGGCACAACTGCACAAGGTTTAAAGAGTTTTCAATGAATAAACGGCAAACCGGCCAATTAGAAGGGCAAAGCATCTTCTTTCCGATGTACCAAACAGAAGAAGAAGGGTAAAGGAAGGTCGGAGCTGAGATCCTCCGGGAACCCAACACCCAGAACCTCCGGAGTGATAGCTAAGAAAATGTGGGAATCAATCTGCCTAACCGTAGCGGCCACCGCTGGTAACAACATCGGCAAAGTCCTCCAGAAGAAGGGCACCCTCATTCTCCCCCCTCTCTCTTTAAAGCTCAAGGTGCCCCTCTCTCTCTATGCTCTATTCCTGTTAATTGATCATACGTATCTCACGCTAATGAATCCGGGCCTTTCTCCTGCATATATGCGTAGCCGTTCTTGCACGTTTCCTGGACTGTTCTTTCTAGGAAATGTTCAATTAGGCGTTTTTATATGGGCAGTTTATACTCATCTTCTGTTCAGTATTGAGTTCGTATGGAGACTACACATACTTAAGTTGGTTAAGAATGAATTGTCTTCTTTATAATTAGGGTGGGATATTTATCTTTTGAACTCTTTTTGTTTTACGGAGTAATTGGCATTGTTGTTGGTCAAGGGAAAAAACCTAGTCCGGGGAGAAGCAGGCTGATATTAGGATAGATGTCCAGTGAGTCAAGCAATTTGGATACACTGTGCATATACAAGTGCAATAAATAACAGTGAATTTGTATTTAGTTTACAACAGTTTTACATTTAATGCAATCTCCAATTAGTATAAGATGCCCTAAATTGTAAGCAGTTTTCATTTTCCAAAGATCATAAAAACAGTTCAAGTTTGAGATTGTAGCAGTTATGCTTGTTGTGCCATATTATGATACTACATTACCTTTTGTATCTATGCACACTATTAGCATTATTGTCATTTTATATCAGTCTAATTGATCTTTCTGCGGACATCCTTGCAGGTGATAAGAGCATATGCATTTAACAAAGCTTGGGCCTTAGGTTTTCTAATGGATTTGTTTGGAGCTGTCTTAATGTTGCGAGCATTGTCCCTTGCCCCTGTAAGTGCATCACTGAGCTTCTTTCTATTTCCATAGATCATTTTGTAAAAGTTCTCCTACCAATCTCATATCTGGATATTTATAATGGTTGATAACATTATCTTACACGCTAATTGGATGCTGATTCATATTTTTATATAAATCTGGTTCTTTTTTTGTTTTAGGTTTCCGTCATTCAGCCTGTATCTGGCTGTGGACTTGCCATTCTTTCAGTTTTTTCTCATTTTTATCTCAAGGAGATTATGAATCATATTGACTGGCTGGGGATTGCATTGGCTGGGATCGGAACCATAGGTAAATATGTTCTTTCATTTCCTGTTTTGTTCTATCATACCACAAGATGTATTGATGGCAACATAAAAAGATACAAAAAGGCATCAAGTTGAATAGTTGATGAATACTGAATACAACATAGTATCTACTTTAGGGCTGTGGCATGCAATCCCTCACCCATGGTCTACAGGAAGACGTTGGAAGAGAAAACGAGTAAGAATAGTAATAATAAGCTTTGTTGTGTGGTGGAATCAACTTAGGCCTCTGGTCCTTGGCAGAGAGGTGGTGCCCGACCTTGTCTCAGATACAAAAATTAATCCTCTAAAACTCTAAAAATTAACTTGTTAGTCCAACTTTAACCTGTCATATAATACTAGCCAAACACTTAAAAGAAAGCGTAGAGTTGCAAGGCTAATACTTCTTAAGTAATTAAAGACTTGATAAACTAGAAGAAAATACAAATAGAAATAGAAACTGATAAAAATAGGAATTATTAAACTTGAGATGCATGTGAGGCCACTATGGCCACCATCACATGACTGCAATGTCTCTTCCTTCCTTGTGCCGTTGTAAGTGTGTCCCAGAAAAGGTGTCCATAACACATTTCTGTATATTTACATACAGGTGTTGGTGCTGGAGGGGAGGATCAAAAGGCTTCATCGATTTCAATTTTTCATTTACCATGGCTGGCATTCTCTGTTGCAACTTTGTTTGTAGGTATCCTATTCTATATGTACTATGAAGTATAAATGTTGCTGAATTATAACATTCTGAAATATAATCTGTAAACTTAATAGAAGAGCTATGCATTCTTGAGCTTTTGAAGTACCATAAATTCATGACCTAATTAATCCCCCTTCCCCAAAGGCCTCAACCCAAAATAAATTAAAAATTAAACAAAACACAAGAATGCTATGTCTGATGGAGGTAGGTGTACCTGTAAATAGGTAAAGTGGTTCACTCATATGTGGGAACTCATGGGACTTTTTATTTAAAACTGAGGAACAGAGGTGATTTAGAAGTTAATGTTTCATCCAAATATTTTATTATCCTCCGTCCTTTGATGTTTTGCCACCTTTGACCGGCACATATATATGTGAATTGTTTCTGCTTATGGTCAGTCACTTGAGGTTTATGTACTGATGTGCAGTAGTGATCTCTAATGCCTTTGCTGAATATAGGTAATCCTTAATGGTTGCCTTCGCATATATAAGCGCCAGAGAAGAGAACAAGAATTGGTAATGCTTTTCTTTTCAAGTAATACTAATGCTTTTTGAATTTTGCGGTTTATTCGATGACATTTTACTATCATGCAGATGCAATATGAAGTAGTTGAAGAAATAACTTATGGTCTGGGATCTGGCATACTGTTCGGGTAATTCTATTTACATGCTAAATTGCTATTTTTTAACATTTGATGTATCCTCTCTGGATATTTGTCATGCTAGTGGAAACAACTAAGGCTTGGGTGTTGTTGTTTGTTGTAGTGGAAACAACCTATGATGTTGATAATTTGGAATTTCATCTCATTATTTCTTCTTTAGAACGTTGTGACAAGAATGGGGATCCAGCGTAAACCAGCCACTTTGTTTTCTTTTTCATTAATTTATAGCGTGAAGCTGCGAACTAATTCTAGAAAATTTCTTGACACTTTACGTTTCATGCCACTGACCCTGACGTGATCCGGAAATTGGAATAAGCTGATGATGATAATATGGCTCATCTGAGCAGGTTATTGCTGTTTGTTTGGGATAATCGTTTGTACAAACTAAATGTCCAGATGCATATGGCTCCAAGGTTGATGCATATGGTTGGTTGTTTAGGAACATCACTTCAGGAAGGTTGATGTTTTCCTTTTTACTACTCCGCCCCATAATTAACTCCAGACTAGGTTTAGAACCGTTTAATAAGAAAAGCGAATGCAGTAGACAGAGAACATTTAACATATAATGTTGAATTGGTACTAGTTGGGATAAGAGATAAAAAGGAGATGAAGCAGCTGATGTGTGGTAGAAATTACACTAATGTTTTTGATTTTTTTTATATAAATTTTAAAGGGCCTGACTCAATGCTTCAGTAGTCAAGAATTCAATTGCATATCTGGAGATGCTGAGACTGACACACCCTCTCTTCAATCCCTCTAAAAAGTACATATGAATTTCCCTTCAATGGGATGTTATTTGATTGCATATAAAACCATTCCTTCCCTTTTTAGTTACTATAGCAGCGCAAGAAGATGTTAAAGAAAGGCCCACATACTCACTCTCTCTCTTCTATCTCTTTCGTTGATAATTAAGCTTGTCAGATAATTTATTCTTTTCAAAATAAGGTTTATCCATCTTAATTTATGAAAAGAGGGCAGCCTAGCTGCACTTATATTTTTACAAGCAGGGAAAAGTCTAGCAGTACTCGTGTGGTTCATGACCATCATGCATTTTTTTCGGTGGATAAATAAAATATAGCTACTAATTTATTTGTACATATTTTGTTTCCTGTGTACCTATCAAATGCAGGATGGCATCTGTTATATCAAAGCTTGGATTTTTATTCTTGGAGCAAGGATTCTCGAAGCTGCTGTTACCTATCTGCATCTCCATCAGCACATGCTGTAGTGCTTCTGGATTCATTTACCAGGTATCTTGAACATTCAACATTTTTTTTAAAATTATTTTTATAGAACTATAAAAGTAATATAAACAGCACAAATAAATCTGAATTGGTTTCCTTGCATAGAATTCCACTGCTTGCCAGTTGTGCAGTTTCTCGTCTGTAGTTCTTAAACCGTTTTTTTCTACTAACCAGACACGTGGCTTGAAGCATGGGAGAGCAATCGTGGTTTCTACATGTGCCGCTGTTGCATCAATCGTTACTGGAGTAATTGCTGGCATGCTTGCATTGGGTGAACAGTTGCCTTCAGCACCCAAAGCTCGTCTAGTTCTTCTCCTTGGATGGTATTTTAAAACTTAATTTTATGTCGTATAGCAACTTAATATGTGATTATAAAATGAAATCCATCCGTCTTTTAGCTTGTGCACATGAAGTTTGCTTATTATGAATACCAAATAGTGAGATTTCGTTTGGGGGAATCTATTGAAATTGTTTAAGTTATAGCTGAGTATGCCTAATTTCAAAAAGTTAGTTTAATTATTTTTTATTAATTACGAAAAAGTTTATATGAAAAAAACTAAAATAGTCTTGTTTAACAAATTCGGCAAAAAAAGTACTTCCAGGCCCCAACCTTTCTTTTCATTGTTAACCAATTCAGCACGCGAAATAGAAAAAGAATTTGGCGGAAAAAATCAGGCTTATAAGACGGATAAGCCAAAACATAAGGTTACCAAACTGGCACTGAGCTTTAGATCCTTCTGTACAGGCTATTTATTATAATTGGTGTGATGTTGCTGGTCACTTCAAAGCGCATTCTGCGTTGTCTGCCCCGACCATTGGGACGCATTCTCCGAGGTGGCGCTGAGAGAAATCAAGGCTTGAGACAGTCAAGCTCAATCCGCATTAGAGATCCGAGCCCCACTGTGATCCAAGCAACTACACTGCACCACTTGATACCGTCTCCACCCAAAGAGAAGGCTTGAAACTGGTAGCTATATTGCCATTTGATCCGGTTGGTGTACAGCAGTATGGATGGATCACCTCATCACCCGCTTACATACTACAGACAGACTCTCATAAGCAGAAGTTTCACACCAGAGGGCTTCAACCCTATTTTTGTTGGAATCCTTTTCTTGAGGCGTATTTACTGTAAGCGACTTTGAGAGATGGCTGTGTTGTAGACTGAGTGAGCTGCAGAGGAAAATTGGTTTATTATCATCGTTATTGTTGTCATTATTATTGATGTTGCTGTTTTATTACTATTATTACTATCATACTAATAATAACAAAAATAATGACAATGTAACTAGTGGTGGATTCGGGCCGGGTGGCCCGACCCGGACCCGGCCCGGTACTGTTAGGCCCGGCCCGATCCTGTGGCCCGGCCAGGGACCGGTCCGGGTAGGCCCGGCCTGGGGGGTTTCCGGTGCGGGCTCGGGTCAGGAAAATAAGGAACCGGCTGGGCCGGGCCCGGTTCAGGTAATTTTTTTCCATTTTTTTTGAATTCCTGGGTTGGGCTAGGTATTTTGGGTCATTTGGGGTGGTTTGGGGGGTTGGGGGTGAGGGGGGGTCGGGGTTTAAGTAGAAAAAGAGGGGAAAAAATTGAATTTGGCCCGAGGCCCGGGCTCGACCCGGACCCGGGGGTTACCCGGGCCGATTCCAGGCCTACCTCCCAACTTCTAAAGCCTGACTGGGCCTAGGCACGGCCCGGGTCTATCACTAAATGTAACTATTTTCAAAGCGAAGTGGAAAAAATGAACAATATTCCCGCTTAAAGAAACGGGTAAAAAATGGGTTGGATCCCTTTCAATGTGGTGTGAAGTGAACCGTTCAAAAAATGTGCTGTATATGCTGGGCGGAGCAAGGAATAGATGGAGGCCTAGCCAAAATGAAAATCCCAACTTTTGCAAAAAGTATATTAAAGTTCATATTTAAAAAAAAAAAATTGTTCTCTAACTTTTACAAAATATATACCCCGTATCAAATTTCATAATTTTTATGATCTTTAATATGACATCAATATTACATATACAAAGTTAAAATTAGGGGTCATAAACACTTCACTAAAATTAAAATTAATTGTCTATGCACAGACAATTACACGTGGGCGTATAAACTAGCGTGTAATCTAACATGTACAAGTTGCACGGTTGTACTAATTTACTACTCAGCATCAAACTTTACTTTCTAGGATGAAGTAAAGAATCTATGTACAACATGCACTTTCTTTGTCCCAAATAAATTTCAACCTTTCATTTTTATCTTTTCCAATATAGACTTTTTTATGGTAAAGAATCTATGGTTCACAACATTTTCGTTTCCACCACACAAATCATACAATTTTCACTTTTGTAATCCCCGTGTCAAGTGAAAATATGAATTAATTATGGGACAAAGAGGATAACATTTTCACTTTTTTCAATTCATAAAATCTGTTACGTGTGCATGACACGGATGAGAAACTAGTAATAATAAAACAATCATAATATAAAACAATCATAATAATAAGGGAAAATAATGATTACCCCTTGAGGTTACGTGATAATTATTAAATCAACCTTATATTTTTAGAACTGAATTATTTACCGCTTAAGCTTTTATTAAAGTTAGAATATCCCCCTTTTGTAAGTGGAATTCTCAAAAATGTCTTTATCTATTAAACTAAACTAAAGAGTGGTATAAAATAAAAGTACATCAACTGAAAGTTTCTAGGCTTACTCCAAATGTATTCGAACAAAAAATTAATGTTTTCCAAGCATCATTGAAGCACACTTAAAAGTGTTCCGTGCCTTTCCATTTTTCTTCTTTTCTACTCCAATTTCAATTCTCATTCGAAGTCTCATTTGTACATCAAAGGAAAATTCACTCGGCTGTGTATTTGAAGTAGGGGTGGGCAAAAATACCGAACCGGCATGGTGTCAAACCAGACGGATACGCTACCGGATCAAAAAACGAGACTTGAAGGGGTCAAATAATACGAGTAAAGGGTCAGTTTGGTCCTCGAAGTTGCATAAAAGGGGTCAAATAAGTCCTTATATAGAAGGTTCTATCCGGCCGTCGCCATTTGGGGTGGTTCTCGGTGGAATTTTTTGATGAAATTTTTTGAGCATCTTATTCATTAAGTCTAGTTCACGCATACCAAATTTCAGATAAAAATTCAATCGGGAAGACATTCAAATGAATTCTTGAAGATAACTGTGTAGTTAAAAGCGCAGTTATCTTCAAGAATTCATTTGAATGACTTCCCGATTGACTTTTTAGCTGAAATTTGGTATGAGTAAACTAGACTTAATGAATAAGATGCTAAAAACAATTTATCAAAAAATCCACCGGAAACCGTCTCAAATGACACTTCCGGACAGAATCTTCTATATAAAGACTAATTTGACCCTTTTTATGCAACTTCGAGGACCAAGCTGACCCTTTACTCTTTTCAATATGCTATCAGAACTCCCCGAATCTTTTTTGTGTAAAGGAATGGTCAATAAGGATATTGGGGGTGTTTGGCAAACGTCTGTTGGCTGTTGACTGTTGGCTGATTGTGTTAGCTAATTGATGTCAGCGGATTCTGCTGGCTGTTTTGATTAGCTGATAGTATTAGCAGTTTGTAAAATTGTGTTTGGTTAAATGACTGTTTACAATCAGCTGGTAATTTGTTAAATGACATTTAAGGACATCAATTAATTTTTATTTAATGTGATTAGTTTAACTATTTAAATCATTTTATGAATTAAAAACGTTAACTTCATTGACAAAAGTAATACTCCGTACTACTAACTATTTAAAAAATTCGAGAAATATTTATACCAAGTAAAAGAAAACTTTTACTAATATTTTCACATCCTTCGAAAAACATTTTTTTTAGTTATTCTCCATTTGTATACATACTACCGTAGTATATATTTTTTAGGATTTTTTACGAGAATATTACTAAAATAAAACTTATTTACATAAATATGACTATTCATTACTACAACGTAGTGTTGTGGTAACTAAAGTTCAAAACTTGAACATGAATTACTATGATTTCATTACTACTCTAATAATGAATCATGTTTTTGTAAACCATCTTTATTTTGGTCATATTTATGTAATTATCTATTTTTTACATAAAAAGTACTTCGTATATTATTATTATTAAATGCAAAAAGGATTATTCAGGAAGTCATTAGTTGAAATAATTATATGCATGAATATAAGTAACTGTAGGAGAAGCCACGTATTGCTCCCCCCTCAGTGTTGCTTTTTCCTGTGCGGAAGCACATATTGTAGGTCGAATTATGGATTTTTTCTTCAGTGGAAGGATTTTTCTTTGGCGAGTAGGACTCTAGGAGGGAGACAGATAAGGAAAAGAAGGTCTGGACTTTGGACGCATGGGTAGTATAGGTATATAGGATTGATATACGGAAAAGCCAATCCTAAAAGCTAAGATTTATAGCATTTCATATTTTGGCTGTTTGGAGTAAAAAGCCAAATGGAAAAACCATTTAACCAAACACACTTATTAGTTGTTTGATCCGGTCAAAAGGCCAAAGTTAGTCAAATCAGCCAAAAAATGGCTGATAGCCTCCCAACCAAACACCCCATTATTATTCCCCAAAACACGGATTTGAAATTAGACACACTCCTTGACTAGCTACTCTTCCAAAGTAATGGATGAGAACAACAAAACTATTCTTATCCTGCACATATTTTGTAATGAATGAATTAATTCCTTCTTCACGTACATACGGAGTATTAATTTGATAGTCACGATATCGGCATAAGTTTCTTGCATATATTTTGAAGTTTGGGAAAAGGTGCAAATAGGCCCATGTACTAACAAAAAAAGGTCAAATAAGCCCTTATTTAGGAGACTCTGTCCGGTCGTCGTCATTTGGGGTGGTTCCCGGTGGAATTTTTTGACGAATTTTTTTTAGCATCTTATTCATCAAGTCTAGTTTACTCATACCAAATTTCAGCTAAAACTTCAATCGGGAAGGCATTCAAATGAATTATTGAAGATAACTGCGCTTCTAACTGCACAGTTATTTTCAAGAATTCATTTGAATGCCTTCCCGATTGAAGTTTTAGCTGAAATTTGGTATGAGTAAACTAGACTTAATGAATAAGATGATAAAAAAATTTCATCAAAAAATCCACCGGGAACCACCCCAAATGACGACGGCCGGACAGAACCTCCTTAATAAGGGCTTATTTGACCTTTTTTTGTTAGTACATGGGCCTATTTGCACCTTTTCCCTTGAAGTTTTGTCCAATGTTGTCTAAGTGCTCTTTAGTATGAGTTTTGTCCAACGTATATTATGAGATGGAATTCGATCCAATTAAGAATTTTCATAGGGAGTGTTTCCGTTGTAACTATTTATGAGAATTAATTTATTTTAGAGATTATATAAAAAGCAATTAAGAAAAATTTGAGTATGTATTTAGTAACAGAAAAAGTGAATTAGATTAAAAACACATATCCCCTCACTTCTAGCTTTAAACTGATCAACTTTAAGTAAAAGTACAAGTATGGCAATACATTTTCATCTTTTTTTTCAAAACAAAAGCTCATAACCAACAAACACTCACTTTTTCCACTTGATAAAAATACACCCTCCTTCACACTTCATACACTTTTTTCCAAGAGCTAAGCATTAAATATATATTCCTCGAAGTTTTGGTTAAATGGCATACAATTCCTAACATATCATATGAATTTAATAGGATCCACGTGACCCTATTAAGTTGTTTTCATATTTGCTAGCGGGAACAGAATACATGCAACTAGAAAGCTGATGGAAAAATTTCAATAAACCATCCATTTGTAGCAGAGCTTTATGATTCTTCCAACATTTAAAACATTCCTTAGATGTGGAAGCTTATTTGGGGGGAAAATAATGTTCCTTGAGATTTATTCTATAAAAGTACTCCACCGCCAATTACTCTTTTAATCCAAAGCCACCTATTTGAGATTTGCCAGCATCACAGAATCAAGTATGTTTGATCCACATGGAAAAATTCTGCATAAGAACCCAAAAATCATATAAGTGCATTAAGTATAAAAATTGTGTTTGATCCACATGTTTGATCCCATTTGAAAAGGTTCAAAATGTATAAAATGGTAATTAAATTGTGTTTGGAGTGGGTATTGTATTCCTGAAATATAAAAATTATTGGTCCATTTAATAAATCATGGATCTTCAATGATTTTTTAATATATTCTACATTTTAAAATATAATTTTGAGAAATTTGAAATACGTAAAAAGAGCAGCTAAAATATATTGATTTAAATGTAAAGTTCATAAAG